CTGGATTGATGTGGCGATTGAAGAGTTTCTGGGCGTCCACCACGAAGTACCTAGGTTTCTGATCTGCACTCTACTCTGCACTGGAAGGTGGATTCTACGTGGTCAATGCCAGTCCATCGCGAGAGCTATCTTAGGGAACTGCTCCTTCATGATGCCCTTGACATTCCATGCTATCTCCTTATGCTCGTCTTGTGTACCGTTGCCGCACCTCAGATCCACGTAATGTATCCAATCCCTCGCGTTCATGGTCATGTACAGCTTAGTCTGCGTGGACATGGGAAGGACGAAACGGGCGCACTCTTTCGCTATGCCCTTCTCTAGTGCCTGCGTATATGTGGCGTATGAATCCTTCCACAGCCTATCCTGCTCTGCCACGAACCAGGCCTTCACGTCCGGCGGCAGGTCGTCCACGGACGACTGCCTGTTCTTGGGATCCTGGCTCCTGGCTTCGTAAACCACGTTCGCATCGACCTTTGCATACCTGGTGCTGAATTGCTGAAAAGTTGCCGACCTGTGCCTCAGGATCTGCTCCGCTATGGCTCTGCTGGTGGTTATCTCCACCGTCATGGAGGCGGTCTCGAAGACCGACCAGTGACGATTCTTGATACAATAACGCAACAGCCTGGCACCGCTCTCGTAATTCCTCTGGTTCTGGGGATTGGAAACCCGTGCGGCGTGCACTATGATGTCCTCGGGACCTAGCCCCTCCAGTTCTCCCGCGCCTCTGCTGAGCGCCACCAGCTTCACCTCGCAAGCTGCCATCTTTCTATGTGGACTACAATAATACAAGTTCAGTGCCTAAACCGACATATCACTTTCGCAGCATGTTCAGGAAGATCTCGATCATCTCTCCGTGACCCTCCAAGGGGTAGACTCCACCGACCGTGTGGGCTAGTCGCCAAGAGGTGTGTATCGCCAAGTCTCGGACTCTGGATTCCATACTCAATCTAGGTATGGTGAGAGCCAGCTGCGAGTTCAGTCTACGCAGACGTTCTCCGTTATCGTCCTTGCAGAGCTCCATCTTGGCGATGATCTCCAGCAGCACCCACACCCGATCTTCCACCGTGGACTCGGGAGACAGAGTCGAGAATCTCCTTTGGAGCTCGCCCAGGACCTCGGCAGTCGTCCGAAACCACATCCTTGTCTGACGCTAAGGAAATTATTACCATTTTCGCCCAAACTGTCGCCCGTACCGGGCGCTTGTTCGAACGGAAAATGAATAATAATACCGGATTGAGTCCATACGAGTACGGACTGGTACTGGCTATCCGCGAACCGCCGGGTTATGAAGCCCGGTATCCTCGAACAATCCTTATATAGTGGCCGACCGGCAGAACTCCACCGGCCTTGCACGGCCTTCCAGCCGCAGCCTAAGCAGCCTCAGGATATTGCGGGCGGCGTTCACGTCTCGGTTCACCGTCATGCCATTACAGCCACTGTTTCTGCAGTGGAGCACACTGTGAACTTTGACGGTCTTCACCGCCCCATCCTTGCACCGCTTCTCCGAGTACTGGTTGCGCAGCTGCATCTTGCAATCGAAGTGGAGCTTGCTGGTCCTGAACTCGTCCATCGAGACCACCCTGCAATGCTTGCGGAGCTCTCGCTCCAGCCGCTTCACGGGCCCAGAAGGAGACCCCCTGATGATGCCTCCGGAGTCCTTGTTCGACCAGTCTCCGAAGCCCACAACCGTCTTGCAACCCACTCGCCTTGTTATGGCTTTGCAGAGCGCATACAGCTTCTTCTGCGCCGAGATGTACCGCTTGAACTTGAGCCCTCTGAATCCCTGCCTCATGTGGTAGACGAGCAACATGTCCAGCCTGGGCAGAATGAAGTGCAGGTAAGCGAGGAACTTGGTGCTCTCCGAGGTCTTCTTGGTGGGCATATTGCGGATAGCCTCGAGCACCTCCGGGCTCTTATCGTACCACCGCTTGATCTTGGCGTTGCTGTGCTTGTACTTGGCGTCGCCATAAAACTCTCGGGTAGAGCACTTCAGCTTCTCTCCTTCCTCATTGACCATGACAAAGAGGTCTCGCCTGCCAGGGTCTAGGCCCCACAGCTCCTCTTCTCCCGTGAGGTCAGGGAGCGTTGCTTCGCCTGAGGCTTGCTTGGGCTTGGGTTTCCTCAACACGATGCACACGGCCTTTCCGTCCGTGAGGATCTCACCTGCAAACTTGCGGTTGCATGTCTCAAACTTAGCAATGTCGAAGAGGTCCCTCCAGTAGTCGTCTGCCACCTTCCTGAACTGAGCTCCCGAGGCCGGAAGCTCAACCCCTCCCCTCTTGAGCAGCCCATACAGTCCGTTAGTGCACATCTTGAGGTGATTGCACTCGAAGCCCCTCTTCGTAGGCAGCAGGCTGAAGAGCCTCAGCTGCTTGCCATTCTTCAGCTCCTCTTCCGTCAGGGGGTGATGAGACTCCATGTAGCGCAGGAACATGTATTGCATCGGCATGAGTATGTGAGGGGAGGAGTCCGCCCTGCCAGTGGTGGCTTTGGGAAGCATGGCTCGATACCTCAATACTAGTTGGTCGTCGCCTTCATACTCATCGGCGAACATGCCTCTCATCTTTGCGTAGCACGAAGGGCCGTCTAGTGAGTACTTGTGCTTCAGGTAGCGCTTGAAGCGCTTGTAGAAGTTTGTGGCGATTGAATTCTTGGTGCATGTAGCCATCTGAAGACTGGCGTTCTGATACCAGCCGGAAGAGAGATGCTCGGAATCTGGAGGCACGTAGTTAGCAGGGCGTGATGCCAGGTAGAGCTCTACGGTCTCCCTGAGGTAGAGGTCTTTGACGGAGCTCTTCTGCCTGCCAGCCACGCTGACGGCGGAGAGGCAGTTGTAGAAGAAGGGCTGATCCAGAGGTGGCACCTCACGGCCCAACTCACACATCCGTAGTACATGAAGGTTAGCAAGGATGTAGGCTTCACAGATAGCCTTATTCACTTCCTTGAGCACGCTCTCCAGAGGGAGGGCCCTGGCAGCCTCCTTGTAGAAGCTGTTCAGGCTGGTCATGACCACGGTGCATTCGGTCTCTTTGTTCCTCAGGGCCCGGAGCTTGACGTCCTCTCGGGTCCTAGGCTCTTTGAAGAGCTTGCTCACGTAGGCCAGGCATTCATGGTGGAGAGCGACGTCGGGGGGCTTCTTTGGTGGCATTAGACCACCCCTATGCGTCTCCTTAGGAAAATAGATCTCGGGAATTTTACGCACGGCCCAGGTTATGTATACGAGCCTAGCGCTTATAATGTAGGACTCTCGTACACATCAACGAAACAGGTGATTATATGCAACAATCGTTTTCCATTTGCGTCCAACCGGGCGGTTTCGCGCGACACTTTCGACGAAAACGGTAATAAATCGATCCATGCGCCCGAAGTCGAACTTTCGGACGGTATGCTCGCAGTTTTTTCACGCCCGAAACCGACCTCCCGAGAAATTTCTTTCGGGCGCCACCTCTCGCGGAAATATACTCGGAGGGTTTTCACGCCCGAAACCGACCGCCCGAGAAATTTCTTTCGGGTGCCACCTTTCGCAAAAATATGCCCGCAGTTTTTCGGCGCCCGAAACCGACCGCCCGAGAAGTTTCTTTCGGGCGCCTTTCAAGCAGTATGCTTCGCGGTATGCCTCAAGCGAAAGCCAGAGAAGTACTTTTCGGACGGAGATCGCTCTATAAAAAGAGGTCCCTCTCGTTCTCATTCTCAAAAACGCACTTGGCCTCCCCCTTCCCAACAGCTCGCAAGCAACTCCCTCGCACACAGCATCCTTCTGCCTATCTGCCTTTTCAGCAGCGGCACAGCTTAGCCGCTTCCCTCTTTTCCCAACAGCACCCTATTCTCCCACAGCTCGCTTCCCTTCCGTCCACTCACCAGCCAGCAGCACCTCATACTCGCATAGCTCGCTTCCTCCAACACCAGCAGCAACGAGGCCAAGTCGCGTCAGATAGTCACGCCGGCCGGCCTTTTGCCTTGTCCTTGTTTTCCTTTTTGCTGGTCTGCGCAGACCTCTCTTTTCTTCTCCGTGTCTCTGCAAGCCTGGCCAGGCTGTCGTGTCATGCTGCTCTTCGGCAGCTTTTTTTCTTGCCGTGTCTTAGCTGGGCTCCCGCTTCTTTGCGGCTCCCCTCCACTGTTTCTGTCTTTCGCTGGCCTCTCGGGCCTTGTAGCTGCCTCGTGCAGTTCCCTTCCGAGAAGTATCAAGGTGAGTATTAGTGAAGTAGGATAAATTGAAGTTACTCTATGATCGGCTTCTCGTTTGCTTTGCAAAATATTTGCATAGAAATGTTCCCTCTGTTGCTCTCCAATCTCGTTGTTTGCAGAACCCTCGCATCGACTACCTCCTGAGGCTCCGCTCGCATCCGTTAGCTGGCCTCTCGGCCCTTGCAGCTGCCTTGTGCCGCTCCACTCCTACCAATCAGATAAGTTCCCTCTCTTGCTCTCCAAACTTCTGATGTTTGCAGCATCCTGCCTCCTTGAGGCTCCGCTCGCACCCGTCGGGCAGGGTGCCGATAAGAGCGAGCATTTGTGGCTCTGTGGGTAGTGCCGTTTGTCCACGGTACGCATACCACTCTGCCTGTAGGCTCCGCTCGCACCCGTCGGGCAGGGTGCCCATAAGAGCGAGCACTTGTGGCTCTGTGGGTAGTGCCGTTTGTCCACGGTACGCATACCACTCTGCCTTTTCACTCCGTCTGACGATGTTGAAAAGCTGTCCGAGCTACTGGTCACTTTTATCTCCACTCGCAGGTCCGAGTCATCGAGCCTTTTGACGAGCGGACGCGACTGGAGATCACTACCATGTGCCTCGTCTACGATCAGGGGCTCGACACGCCGTCTATGGTCCAGGTTTGAATCAAACAGAGGCAAGTCTCGACTGACTCTTCGAATGCCTTCGCTGCTGAGTCATATGCACAGGGCGTTTCGTTCCTTCGTAGCAGCAATGACTTGTGGTCAGAAAATTCCCCTGCCGCCTTTGTCACAAGAGTAACATGTTTCTTTTTCTTCTTACAGGATAAAATTCGCCGCATGGAGGAGTCTTCGTTTGTGACTCTGAGTCCTTTTTCTGGGCGTGTGCAATGGATTTTTCTACGTGACGTGATTCTGGGTTCTTTTCTGGGCATGTGGAATGATTTTTTGTGTGACTTTTCTTCGACTCTTTGGCTGTCTGTCTGTCTTTCTGTCTCTGTCGAGTCGGTCGGTCGGTCGGTCCGTCGAGTCCAGTCCTGTCCAGTCCTGTCCAGTCGGTCAGTCCCACCAACTATACACACCCTACACTAGACACCCTACACTATACACACCCCTCACCCTCTTACCCACTCCAAATACCCTACTGCCTTACCCTTCCCTCCCACACACCCTACTTCTTAACCCTTTCCTCCTACATACCCTACTACCCTTACCTATCCCTCACACCCTAATACTACCCTTACCTATCCCTCACACCCTAATACTACCCTTACCTATCCCTCACACCCTATACTACCCTTACGTATCCCTCGCACCCCACTGCCTAATTACCTCCCTCACACCACCCTATACTACCCTTACCTATCCCTCAAACACACCCGCAGTAGAACCACAGATGGCTGCTGCGACCCGCAGCTGGGGTTCGATTCCCCATGTGGTTGGACGATGTGGCACATCGAAATATTGCCGGTTGAGATTACTGGTTGTGAGTAGGTTTCCTAGTATACTTTCTTCTCTAGATCATGAAGACTACAACCAGCAACCGGCAAGGTTGGGGAACTTAAGGGAGTTCCGAGATCGATCTGTACAATCTGAGATAGATCAGATCGATCACCCCTTTTCTTAGGGCCTCTGAAAAATGGTCCGGTTGCCGGTTGCTGGATGGTGACGTGGCACCTCGAAAAG